ACCCCGACGAGTATTCGGCGTTTCGTTACCGAAATACACTTCGGGATTTTCGGGATTTTATTTAGTCATTTTGCTTGATCTAGCATATTATATCCCGATGTGTGTTTGGTGTTTCGTTACCGAAATACACTTCGGGATTTTACTTAGTCATTTTGTTTGATCTACCATATTATATCTCGATGTGTATTCGGTGTTTCGTTACCGAAATACACTTCGGGATTTTTGGGATTTTACGTAGTCATTTTGCTTGATCTACCATATTATATCCCGACTTGTATTTGGTGTTTCGTTACCGAAATACACTTCGGGATTTTCGGGATTTTACTTAGTCATTTTGCTTGATCTACCATATTATAGCCCGACGTGTATTCGGTGTTTCGTTACCAAAATACACTTCGGGATTTTCGGGATTTTACTTAGTTATTTTGCTTAATCTACCATATTATATCCCGACGCGTATTCGGTATTTCGTTACCGAAATACACTTCGGGATTTTCGGGATTTTACTTAGGCATTTTCCTTGATCTACCATATTATATCCCGACGTGTATTCGGTGTTTCGTTACCGAAATAAACTTCGGTATTTTCGATGTTTTACTTAGGCATTTTGCTTGATGTAGCATATTATATCCCGACGTGTATTCGGTGTTTCGTTACCGAAATACAATTCGGGATTTTCGGGATTTTATTTAGTCATTTTGCTTGATCTAGCATATTATATCCCGACGTGCATTCGGTGTTTTGTTACCGAAATACACTTCGGGGTTTTCGGGATTTTACTTAGTCATTTTGCTTGATATAGCATATTATATCCCGACGTGTATTCGGTGTTTCGTTACCGAAATACACTTCGAAATTTTACTTAGTCATTTTGCTTGATCTACCATATTATATCCCGACGTGTATTCGGTGTTTCGTTACCGAAATACACTTCGGTTTCCTGTGATTTCTTGGACGGAGCAACTCTGCAGATGAGCCCGTGGGATTCAAACGCGAAGCGTCTGCTCTTCGAGCCTTTGCCAAGGTGGAGAACGTCATATGCTAAGAAATGAAATCCTTCTTCCGTAGTGACTATGCGAGTTTGATCAGGCACAAAGTGCAGGCCCATGGGTTGGAGCCATTGCGTAGGTGCGAAGTGTGGTAGGTACTACGAGCCCTCTGCCCCATTCGAAAAGAGATTCGAATGGTTCACCGGTTCCACCGTATGCTCTCTGGGTTGAATTGAGTACGCAGTGCGCTTCTGATGCTGTTGCCACTTCGTGGCCTGGTTTCCTCAATGTCCTGGCACATACGATTTTCGACGTCGCTGTACGAGGGAAGTCTTTTTGTAGGATATTTGGCCAAAGATATGATGATTGGTTTAGGTACTCAATTTTTTTTTTTTCTTCCAGTTCATGTTTCAAACAAATGAATCGAGTTTTCAACCCTGTTTCAACCACCACCATGTTATCTTGTATTTGTTCCACTGAACATTGTAAAACACTCCCACGTAGATGAGTCAAACACGAATTTGATTTTTTAAAAATTGAAAAAAACCTCATTGCTTCGCACCTTTCTTTTTTTATCGAGTTTGAACTTCACAAGACCGACCATATAATACATACGTAAAAGAAAGCCTCAGCATCGATCAATCCAACAAATTAGAATTGAAAGTAGACGCAAAGTGAGTGGCTTGCCGCTTTCTTTCTTTCTTTCTTTCTTTCCATCTCATT